TCCCGCAGCGCCGCTCCTTGGCGCTGCGGGACCAACCCAGCAGGACCCCAGCTGCTCTGCCCCAGGGGTCCCCAAGTCAGCCCCTGGGTCCTAAAGGTGCCGGATTATCGGAAGTTTACTGTAGTAGGAAGAACAGAAGTTGAATTTACTTGGGCAGCACTTCACTGTGTGATCTGTAGGAAATGGGATTCCCTTCATAAAGCTGGGTGGAATGTCCTCCCTAAACCACACAAGAGTACCTTCTTTTCAGCTGCTCTTCTCTGCAGATCGTTCTGTTTGATGCAAAGCAGCTGAAATTTCAAGAGTTTTCCAATCAGTGTTACGGGAAGCTGCTCTCCAGTATCCAGAATGGCTTTGGCTGCCTCTATCACCTGCAGAGAGGCGAAGAGTTATTACTAATAAAGTTTCAATATAAAATTTGGCATACTCTATGTGCGCTGACAAGGTAGAACAATATTTCACATTTTAAAGTACATGGCTTACGGAAATATGGCTAGCCTAAATCATACTTTCAAAAAATGACCTAACACCAATGACAGTCCAGCCACATTCGTTGGCTCTCAGGTCCTTCTTGATAATCAACTGAAGTGCTGTTCACTATCACACTCCACACTTGCTGAGATGAGGGTAACATTCTGCATTTCATTTTAGGAGCATTTAGATATCTAGTTCATGCTGTAAAAACATCCATCGTTGAGTTTTAAATAGAGAAGTAATATGAAACAGCAACTTAGAGAGTTGTAAATGAAATAGCATTAATAGATACCAAACCAACTGGGATAGTCTGGGCTACTGTTTACAGAATGGCTAGTATCTGAACTGCTAACTATGACCAAAAGTTATAAACTGCTTGGTAGCAATTTGAACAGAGCTATTCTGATGCAAAGACACCCTCTCTTTGTTTAATGTTGATTGGACTGGTACTACATAGCCTAATTGTGGTGCAATAAAGCTATTGAGTTTTCTTCAGGTGATGACAGCAGCAGGAACATACAGCTGCATTGTCCAGATGTGTGACACTGACAGGCTGTTTTATGACTGTTTTTTACAGCCTGTTGCCACTAAATTTCATACAACTCACTCACATCTGGGCTGTTTTCCTTGGAGTCTCATAACCACTTTATTTACTGCAAAAAATAGCACAAAACATCATAAAAAGTTGTTACACGTTTCTTTTCACTTCTGTTTTCTCTCTAATAAAATTCACCTATGTAGGAAGCACTGCTGAAGAGAAATCCAGCCATAATATTTTCCTACTTTTGTTTCTAAGCAAGTATCAGATTTATGTTTAACCTTGCCTTGAATTAGGTGTTACTCAAATAATTTTCCCTCACAAGCAATTACACTTGCATGCATATGGCGTCCATTTTACTTGCTGATTCAGACAATGAAGGTGCCTGCTGCATCTTGCTGAACTGTGTCTTGTTTGAGAAAGACACCACTTTTGTTTTGGGCTTTCATGGTTTCTTGTTCAGTTTCGTAGGCATTTCCCCCTACCAAGTGACAGAGTGGAGTAAGCAAATTCTGCCTCTAATTATGAATGACTCTATGGAACAAACCAATCCAAAATGTAACTGAAGCCACTGATATGGACCAAATTACTATTTTATACCATAGGAGGAGGAACAAGGTAGAGCCTTACAAGCCGACCTGACCCTGTGGGACACTGTTGAGGTTGAGATCAAGTCAAGTCTGAAAACAGACCAAAACTCTGAGACCTGGATTGGATCATCCCCATTCACAACTTCCAACCCATGGAGTTGTCATGGCATTGGCTCCATTCCTGCCAGCGACTGTTACTTCACTGTGCTGAAAAGTCACAGTGCTTTTCCCTTGGCAGCACAGTGACAGTGAGGTGTTGGTGACAGTGACAGTGAGGTGTTGGTCATCCAGTAGGAGCAGGGCACACAGCCGGCACTGTGCTGCCCCCAAATGCAGAATATGGCTGAATATGGATTGTGGATGTGGGGCAAGAAGCCCCCATCAGACCAAACCCAAAGACACGGCAGCGTTACTGACACAGATTTGTTGGATTTGAGTCAAGCGGGTTATGAAAGCTACTTGATGCTCTCAGGTCAGGTTCAGATCCAGGCTGGGCTTTAAAGTAGACCACGAGGACACAGTCCAATTTTTTCTACAATTCAGAAGAGGGAGACCAAACCACAGAAACACTTGTTTACTTAACAAAAACCCAACACCAGTAAATCTGGCATTATGCTTACTGCATGAATAGAAAAACATGTGTCAGCTTCCATCAATTTTGCTTTGCACTGTATAATATACTATTGCCAGAATATCTCCGGGTGTCAGTTAGGGCCCAATCCAACTCTGACTAAAATAATTGGAAAGGCTTCTGCTGACTTCTGTGACAGATTAGGACCTCAGTAACTAACAGATTAGGGAGAGACCTAAAGAACTGCAGGTGGATTGGTACCCTAAAATCTATTGGTCAATTGTAACAAACAATATTCAGCTGCAGCTAGCCTAAGCAGGAAAGGTCAGTTCAGAGAGTCTGGGAGAAGCAGTGTACTTGACTGATGTAGAGAGATCCTTGTGTTGCTCTTTTTGGACCCCTTCTGACAAATGTAGAAGTGGTGTTAAGAGCATCATCCAAACCGTTTAACTAGAAGGCTAGGTCACTTTTTACTGTTTATATTAATTTCAACACTTTAGTGTGCTTTTTGCTGTTCAAACAAAAATGTATTAAAAGATTTTTACTGGTTTTTGCATGGGCAAGCTTTTTTTCTCCCCAGAAATGATAAAACTGATTAGCATGTGGCAAAAATGGCAAAGATCAACTTTTGAAACATACTGATATGAAATGCATGGAATTGAAAGCATTACAGAGAAGGTGCATAGGAGCCCTGGGTTTAAATATTTTCCTTAGAAATCTAAATGTAACTAGTACTTCTCTCTTATATGATTGGTACCAAAATGTACCATGATCACAGAATCTTATCAGGCACTCATAAAAAGTTTGTCTGAATGTACCTACCACCTTTGAACCAGTCAGGCAATGTATGTTTTTTGCTGTCACCATTTCCAGCAGTAGGTATTTCTAATGATCCAATTCCATAACACTGCAACTTGTCTGCATCTGACAACTGTAACCTTTCTGTGTATGAGGAATACTAAGCCTCTTCTATCTTTCATGGAAGGTGGGCTTCATACTGAAAAGTTTGTCCCTCAATGTCACTCCTTCGAGAAAAATCTGTCCTCAAATACCAATTCAGTATATAGCCTAGGAATCTTTCTGGGATGCTAAGTGTTTATGGACATTCAAATGGCTCTGGTTGCCAAAAACATCTTTTTTGGTCTGCAGTTGGCAAAAAGGCACTCTCTTTTACTGACAGACAATGAACATGGCCACACTGATCCACACCTTTGTGATTTGCAGGCTGTGCTATCATACTTGGGAATTAATAGCTTTTAGAAAGGTAAACATACTAGCCTACTTTCTGAGCAACATTGGTACTAGGAGACACTACTTTCCTATAGAACACGGGGTTAATTTCAAGAAAACAGAATGAGCTTTGGCCCAAGCTACTTAAAAGTATATATGTGGCCCAAAGGTCATGACCCCCTGTTACATTTATGATGGAATTATTAAATTTTCAACCTTTAAGATCAAATTCTCAAGAGTTGGAACATGTAGGATTTCTTGAAAACTGGTTCAAGACTTTGGAATTTTCTTTCAAAGGTGTAAATGAATGACCAGAGACCTTACTGCTTTTAGTGCAAAGAGTCTTGATCAGTGTTTCTTAAACTGTGTTCTGTAGCACACCAGTGTGCTGCGGAGAACAACAGAGTTCAAAATGGCCACCCTTAAAGGGACAGGCATGTTTTTTTCCTCAATCACTTTCTCCCGACTCCCCCCCACCTTATTTTACTCAAAAAAAATCCTTGGTGTTCCTCATAAAAAAAATTATTGTTTGGTGTTCCTCAGTCTTAAAATGTTTAAGAAACACCAGTCTTGGGCATAAAATATTTAGATCAGAAGCTCCATTCCCTTAAAACTACATAAAACAATCCAGAAACTCAATATCTGTTTTTAGGTGATCTCCATTACTACCTCTGTAAGTGCGTATTGATAAAGTGGTAGTATGACCCCGTGTTCTGGCTACATGCTATGAATGCTTCTGAACACTGATTTACATGGTGGTACCTTGCACTGCAATGGTAGTCTTTCTGAAAGTACCTTTGTGTGGGGAAGCTACACCGATGGCAAACTTCTCTCTTGACTTCTCTACTGAAGGAGACTGACCTACTATCCTGATCTCTGCAGAGGTGTGTGACACAAAGTACAGGCATTCTGATACCACCTAAAAGCAATCCCAAAGCCCATCACATTCTGACTCAATGGCGTTACTTTGAAGAGACATGTCTGAGCCATACAACCATCTGAACTGGGTATGACACAATACATCAAAATAAAAATAAAACATTTCAGTTGACCTGAGGGTTTTTTTTTTAATTTTCTTCTCTGAGAATTTCAAACTACTCATTGATTTCTAACTGGAATTAAACCAAATTTTAAATTCTCAAAATCATCAAGAATATAGAATTTTGCTCCCCACTCAGGTCTAAAGAATAGCCACAGCAGATGACATCTGTATACTTTTCAATTGTTCATCTGGTATCTAGATCTTTATAGATATAACCCAATGTTGGGATTACTTAATATGTTTTGAAATGAAATTATAGCAGTCTCACAGTGTACTAAAACAAATTAAGCAGCTCTTTTTAGAACTTCATAGACATTAAAAACATAAGGACACAAAAACACAGCTTCGGTGCCTACTTTTGCCCTATGTTCCAAAAGCTCATACCCCTGATCGTCTCCCACCGCTAGCTCTGTACCCTCTTTCATTCTTCTCCTTTTGCTTGATTTTGTGAGCCATACAACCTTAATTCTCCTCCCTTAGCTCCTTCCTTAAGTCTCAGTTGTTCGTTAGCCTTCCAACTTTTACTTCAAAGACACTGTTCCCTCAAATTATAGAATGCTGACTTATAATCAAATAATAAATATAGTAATACATAACTTAAAAAATAAACAATTGGAGGTGAATGTAACAACCTGCTCCAAAAAACCCTATTACTAACCCTTCTATAACTGTCAAGATGTTTTGTGCATGCTCATTTCATTATACTGTATGTCCAGCACATTGTGAGAGATTTTTTTCCCTCAGCAGTACCTGTTGGGGCAGCTTGAGTGCCTGATGCTGCCAGCCACCGTTGTGTGCAAGTATAAAGGGAAGAACCACCTTTGAAACCCTCCCCCCCAAGTTCCTTCTTACTCGCTAGACTCTGATAGAAAAGGGAAGGAAAGCAGGTTGTGTAATGGACAAGTGCAACACATCTCGAAGAACAA